GAAACAAGAACCAGCATTTCATTAGAAGGAGACTTTGTCCAGTGTTTCATATTTCATGAATACTTGTGAGTGAAGACATCCCATAAAATAACCAATTAATTCAGCCGTGCTAAGACTCAGACTGAAAACAACACCAAAACATTAACAGAAGCCTGGGGAGGCACAAGGTTTAACATTTCCTCCTGTATGAAAAGTTCCCAAACATTGTTTTCATCCACATCCCTTGATTCACTTCACTTTCTAGCTCTTGGCTCTCCTGACAGCTTCTGCTGTGTTTGTTGCTCTGGGTGAGTGTTGTACCGAGCTGTTCCCAGCTCAGGGTGTTCCACACACAGCCCCCGCTTTGCTGCCAGTGCTTTTTGTCATTGTTGCCTTTGACAACATCACAGATTCCAGTTAAAAGTGACCAGAAGAGCAGGGGAGGGAGTAACCTGCAATAATGATTTGCAAATTGTGTTAATTTCATAGTGGGATTCTGCTTTTTGATAGGATTTAATGCGTAATGAGCTCCTGAGACGTTATTTTTGCTTCAAAGCTTTGCTGAGTACTAGATCCTATTAAATTCTTGCAGTGAACACACCAAAAAAATACTTTGAGCTAATTTTAATAATTTTTAATTGAAGGAATATTTTTATTCCAATTTGAATATTCAAGCTGTTCAAAAGTTAACACATTCTCAAAGTATTCATCAGTCTTTTCTTTCCATAAAACCTTTTTTTAGGAAGCCTGTGGCTTTTGGGGAGGGGGACAGGTTTTTTTTTTGTCTCAGATTTGTTTTTCAGACCCAGTTGAAACAAATTTAGGCATATTTTTCTATTTATTTCTTTTTAAGTGCCTGCATGCTGCAGTCTAATCTCCATTCTTTTTATTGCTGTTTTATAGTCTACCATTATTGTTTGTTTCCTAAAAGCAGAAACAAAATACAAATTTCCCTGCTAGTCCTTTTTTGTGTGGTAGCAGGAGCTGGATTTGTGCTCGTGTGTCACGCTCAGTAACATATGTATTTTGTTGTTAGCAGCGTTGTTATATTACATTCAATCTTAGGGATTCCAACAGAGCCTGGCATCCCAGGCTGCAAAACAACTCGCAGGAGCCAAAACAGCTTCAAAAGCTGCACACAGGAGCAAGGAATGTGTGAGTGCCCTGTTCAGGAGGAGCAGAGGAGCTCGGTGCCCTGTTCAGGAGCAGCAGAGGAGCTCAGTGCCCTGTTCAGGAGCAGCAGGAGATGCAGAGGAGCTCAGTGCCCTGTTCAGGAGCAGCAGGAGATGCAGAGGAGCTCAGTGCCCTGTTCAGGAGGAGCAGGAGA